GAGGTGAGTATCCTAGGGAGATCTCCCATTATGCCTCTAACGGCTCTTTGTGTCAGGCGCCCTAGTACTTGTCATGTCCTAGTATGGCCGCCTTCCTTTATCTGTTTTCTTGTGTGTTACGTTCCCCCAGACGTCTTCTTGGGCCCTTTAGACGGGCCTTACCCTTCTGGGCTTCCAAGCCCTATACTGCTCAGCTATGGCCCAACAGTAATAGATATTGATATACAAGTAATATAATTTTTAGTAATAGATATTGATATACGAGCTTTAGTGAATGGTGCTTTATTTTTTCCTTACCCTCTGTTTTTTAAGAGGGGAAAAGGAAGGGAAGGGAAAGTATGGGAGGAAAATGTGGTTCCCAACGTGTTTTCACAAGTAAATAGTAGCAAGGGGAAGGAAACCTGATGAAAAATTTACCGTGGATGCCTACCCTCCAAATTGGAGAGAAAGACTCATATATGTGTACTTATTGTTGTTTTCTTTTAACCTAGCGTTTGTATCAATGGTGGTGGATAGGGCTGGTAAACGGTACGGTAACCGGTTTACCGTTTTACCGGTTTCGGTATTACCGAAATTGCCCAAGCTTCCGCCGCACGCCGATACCGGCAGGGCCTCGGTATACCGCATACCATTCCAATTGGTGTCGGTAAGGGACACGACATTACCAAGCTACCGTGAAGCTGCTGTCCGCCCGTCCCTATCCGGCTGTCCCTGTCCAGCTGATCGCCTCTGTCCCTGTGACCCTGTCGGTTTTCTCCTCTTGGGCAGACGACAACAAAAGCAAAAGGGCAAAAGGCCAAAAGCTGACCACTTCACTTTCTCTCCATATCCCAGACGCCAAGACCCCACTCTCCAAAATCCAAGAATTAAATTTGAAACAGCAAATTGCAAAATGCAAATAGGCAAAATGCCAAATACTAAAGTCTAAAAAATAAGATCACATATAGGTAGGCTATAGCATTAGAGTGCATTACCTACAACATAAAATTCCAAAAAGAGCAAATAGAGCAATCTAGTTTGCTGCTTCTAAATGTTTAAATTAAATTTTAAGACATGAAGATAAAATAGAATTAATAGTTCCTCACTTGCCACTAGGACCTATACCACCATTACTTATTCGAAGGTCCACCAACATCAACAAAACCTTGTTGCTTCAAAGTGGTGCGAAGGTTATCATCATCATTATCCTCCTCATCCTCGTCTGAATCTTCCTCCTCTTCCTCCTCCACCACAACAAGTAAACTTTGTTTAACACCTTCACTTGGCATGACAGTAGCACTCTCCATTCGAGCTTGGAAGTTAGTAGTGACTAAGTGTAACAAAAAAAATACAAATTGTTAGAATTCATCTAATAATATGTAATCGGAAAATGAGTAATGGAATACTTAAAAATAAATGAAATTATGAATTCTTACCACTTTCATAATCGATTTGGTCTTGATTTTCATCTTCTGTATCATCAACTTTGTTTGCTTTCTTCCCTCCTTCATACCTTATCCAATCTTCAAGACAAATCAAAGCCTCTACAATGGTGGGGCTCAACGAAGACCTAAACGGGCTGAGCACTCGACCTCCACAACTGAAAGCAGCCTCTGAGGCAACAGAGGAGACTGGAACAGCTAGGATATCCTTAACAATCTGGGAAAGAATAGGATATCTAACGATGTTCTTACTCCACCACAGCAAGATGTTCATATCATTATCATCCTCGTTAATAGCATCATCAACATCTCTTAAGTAGATGTCTAGCTCAGAAGAACCTTGAACCCCCCTATAAAGTTTCTCCTTTCTCATCTTGAAGAATTCAGCATCAAATGTCCCTCCATAAGATGCAGATCCAGTACCATCATCAGCACTAGGAGTGGTCTGAACAGTAAGCTCGAAGGGTTGAGGTGCATACTTCAATCTGTAAACCTCAAACATTGCAGTCATCTCTGCAGTCACATCTTTCACCAATTCGTCTCTTTTCTTCTTCCCATACATCTTATCCCACATCCAATACAAATAAGCCATTTTACGCCTAGGATCTAGCACACAAGCCATGTAAACCAGCCTATTTATCCATAGGTTCTCCACCTCTTCCTCATCATCATCATCATCATCATTCTCAAACCAATATTTCCTTACCTTTGCCTCCATTCTTGCTGCCATCCGTTGTATCTCTACATCCATATCTTTCTTAAAAAGTTCTATCACTTCATAGATGTCAGCAATAGCCTTGAAGAAAGTATGAGCAGTCACATAAGATGTTCCTGATACATCCAAAAATAATAACGAATTATTCACAAATTAGTTGAATTACAAGTTGAATCACAAAAGAGTTATATTTGTTCACATACCTGATACCCGAAAGATGAGCTCATAAAAGAACTTCAAATACTTCATTAGTCGTCGAATACTGGTCCAATCTTCCTTAGTTGGAAGACCTCTCTTTAAGTCCACCTCCCGAAATGCAGAATCATTGGGGCTTGCATGCAAGAAGTTAAAGACAGTCTCAAACCTTTTTGCAGATTCCAACATCAAATAGGTTGAGTTCCACCTAGTTGGAACATCCAAAGATAAAAGTCTTCTTCCATCCATTGATAGATAATCAATGGCAGATTTGAACTTTGCACTTCTACCTAGTGATGACTTCACCCATTTAACACAATCTCGAACCCTTTCTATAGCAACTCCAACCTCCTTCAACCCATCCGACACAACCAAATTGATTATATGTGCCACACATCGAAATCCAATCAAATCTGTTCCCCACTCTTTCATCTTTGTTCTCATACACTCTGCAAGAACATTATTAGAAGAAGCATTATCCATGGTAATGGAGAACAACTGTTGTGCAATGTCCTTACCTGTGTGACTAGTGATGGGAACAAAGCTAATGATCCTCTTCTGAAACTTCCAGTCACTCCCAATGAAATGAGCAGTCACACACATGAAATTCTGGTTGTTATCAGAAGTCCATGTATCTGTGATGATAGAAATTCTTCCTTTGCACTTGGATTTGAAGAACTCAGATAACAACTCCCTTTTCTCCAAAAAGATTATATAGCAATCCTGCCTTATTGTCTGTCTTCCAGGTATCACAAACAATGGTTGGGTTACCGCCATAAATCTCTTAAACCTTTCATGCTCAACAAAGCGAAATGACAGCTCATCCAAGATGATCATAACAGCTAATGTAGTTCTAGCTCTTTGCTGATCAAGCTTCCATGGAGTAAGAGAGCCTACCTCACCATCCCCAGGTTGATAGTTCAATAGTGATTGACCACTGGCTTCCTTCCTCTTCCTCTCACATGCCAAGTGATGGTTCTTCAAACCAGAAGTCCCGTTATTGATTGAGTGAGCTTTGATCAAAGTTCCACATTGTTTGCATTTGCCATATGGGTAGTCATCCACCAGAACCTCATCATAAGGAGTCCACCACGGGGACTTCTTCTTCCTTATTGTCACCTTCACGATTTTCTTTGCCTCACCCACTTCATCTGCTCCCCTTCCCATATCAGTCATCTGTGTAGGCGTAGCAGTTGCAGGTGGTGCAGTAGCAGGTAAAGATGTAATGCCAGTGCCACTAGTAGGTGTAGGTGTACTAGATGAGACATTCCCTTGAATCCCTTCTGCAGCTCCAACACGAGTACCCACTTTTTTGGAAGTGGTTCGAGGAGGAATTGAACCACTTTTTTTGGAGCATCTCCTTTACGAGGACGAGAAGATTTCGTCCTACAACAAAAAGAAAAAATGTAAAAAATTAAAAATCATAAATTGCCAACATGCCAAAAAGGCATAAACATTAATTCTTACATTTTTGTACTTGGTTTCTCAAGTAACTAAATTAGTACAAATTAGATTTAGCCTCTATCTAAACCTGCAAAAATGAAAAACAAACTATTATTAGTTAATACTTAATAATCAATCAATTGAATTAAACCTCTAAACTCGGCTAATCAAACAACAAAAGTACAAAACAACAAAACAACCAAACAATTGAATTAAACCTCTAAACCTCTGAGCCTCTATCTCATTTACGAGCCTACTGCTGCTCTACTCGCAGTTCTCAAACAACAAAAATACAAAATTACTACAAAACAATAATCAAACAATTATACAAATAATTAATCCAGACGAATTCTTTCATCACACAAAGAAGTAAATTAGTAATAAAGTAATCTGTATTGACTATTGAGTACTGCTGGTCTGCTGCTCTTATTCTTTTTTAACATGTGGCGTGTAAACTAGAGGACAGAGGTATTCTGTGGCAGTGTGGCTTGTAACCTCATTGAGAACAGAATAAGAGCACCTTTAATTAGCTCAGTTTGATCTAGTAATAAAGTAATTCTTTCATCACACAAAGTCAAAGCTACACAACCACAGGTTACCTCTAAAGTCTAAAATGGACGAACAACCAGAGAAGGTGACGTTCTAACGCCGATGATGACGGGGTTCGACGGCGACGATGATGGGGTTCGACTGCGACGACTGGTTTCGACGGAAACAGAGCAACGAGCCAACGATGATGATTGTGATTGATGAGACAAGTGACAAGATGGAAACAGTCAACGATGATGAGGGTTGCTGCTGCCGTCGTGCCCCTGGGTGGATGCGTGGAGGTGGAGCTTGAATTCGATGAACGGAGGAGGAGGGATCGGCGGTCGTGCACGGTGCAGCAGTCACTCAGGCCTCAGGGGATGTAATTAGCTTTAGTCGATTAGATCGTTCGTTAGGGCTTTTTTAGTTTTTAGGGTTGCCGACGCCCGACGTTTCGTTGTTGGCTACTTGGCTTTGGCGGCTGACTCTTGGGCAGTTGGGCCTTGGCGCTTGAAGTTTTTGATTTCCCAGTCGGTGTCGGAATACTGATCCACCTACGGTAAGCTGCAACCACCGACGAAAAAGATATCATTTTTGTAAAATCATATAGTACCTTACCGACAATTCTACCGCACCAAACCGTCGTTAAAGTGAACGAGATTTTGTATCGAGAATTTTTTTTATTAGTGAACAGAATTAGCAAAATAATAAATTTAATCCACTATTCATAAGTAAAGAAAATACTATAACATATAACTAAACTATTTTACTATTATATAACCATAAAATAATATATCTATCCCACTTTCCAATATACTTTTCTCTCCTACTTTTCCCCACTTTTCTTCATAAAACAACACTTTCATTTCCTTCCAATTTTTCCTCCGCATTTTCCTCCCCTCCAAATTTCCCTTCTCTTCTATTTTCCTTCCTTCCTTCCTTCCTTCGTGAACAGAGGATGAAGCTATTCATGGTTGTCTTCTCATTTCAATACTTTAACCCATATAGGTGGGCTGGCACAGCAGATCTTTTCACCACCACCCACTGCCACTGGGCAAGTTTGCTTCCAGTTTAGGGGTTTCACTTTCATCTGCGCCTATTCATTACTTCCCTGGTGCCACAATTTCTTGAACCCCACAAGTATAGCATAGCAGAATACAGTGGCTGCCAGCAACACCACGCGGTGAAGGACACATAGGTGGTATTCATTTCGGCCTTTGCGATAAAAACACTTGGGTGGTTGGTGTCAACCTCGCCACTGTTGACGCCGCCGACGAAACATAGATTTATTGGCAGCGGTCTCTTCTTCCTTCACTTGTCTGCCTCTCCTTCTGCTATAAATCAGACCTCAACAAATCAAATTAAAAAACACAGTCAGAACCCTAAATCCAAATAAATCAAAATCGCCAAATGAAAACCCAAAAACGACATGCAAACCCCAAATGAAACTATTACCTTTGTCGTCATTCGATCGTCATCACCGGTGTCCACCACCGTTGTTTCTCCCTCGTCGTTGTCGTTTTGCTTTTCTTCCTTGCTCCTCATGCTCGAAAACCATCTCACCTTCGCCGCCGGGACAATCTTCACTGTTTCTCGTCGCCGCCGTCGTTTTCCCTTCTTTTTCCTTTGTCGTCGTCATTACCAGAAAAGGGAAAGAAGGGGTGAGAAGAAGAGTCGAACAGAAGAGGGAAAGATGGATCCAGAGAGCGATGAGAGCATAGAGGTGCGAGGAGTGGGAGATCAGAGGCATTTTTCGGTTTTCTTTTGTCTGTCGTTTTCAGAGGAAGGGCGTCGATTTCTGGGGTTACAGAGAAAACGAGAGAGAGAGAGTGATTGAGGGAGGCGGCCGATCTGCATAGCAAAGCGGCTAGGGTTTCTCCCAAAAACGATCCATATACCCGGACCCACGAAATGACCAAGCTACCCCTCCAATTTTTTGAAAATTACATCTTTGCCACCTTCCTTTTTAAAACGACCCAAACAAACCCTCAAAACGATCCGAGGAGTCCAAAACAGAGAATTAAAATATAAGCCACTGTTAGGATTCGATACGTCGACTTTACATTCAACACTGATTTCAGTCAACATACAAAACCATTATGCTGGTCGCCCGCCACTTGCCCTTTTAGTTTTCGCTTTGAAATTTAACTATTCAACATCCTTAATACGTAAAGTTTAAACGTGATCGAATCTTTATTTTAGGATTAATTCGATTAACCCTATACCCAAGGGGTATCTAACATTCAGACTTTTTTTATGCAAAAATACATATTTTTCCTAAACAACTCTTATCAACAAATAATAGCCAATAAATTGTGATAATCATCCTCGACCAAGTTATTTCAAATTTCATCAATCATTTAATTGAAATATCGTAGTATATCTTCAAGTTCCAACATCACACCATAACTCAAATAATTAGAATGTGCTAAATATCATAAACCTTTTTTTTTCCTCTAAAAGATGTCTTAATACGAAATCACGGTCAATAGACTGTGATCATTTATTAAGCCAAATTATTTCAAAAATTATAAAGTACTCAATTACAAGATAAATATTCAAAATATTTGCCTTCATCGCAGCCTACTCTGCATTCGCGAGAAGGTTTACCACGAGCTCGTGCTTGAGTTCTACACGACCTTCCAGCACACCGACACGGAGAATTGGAAGGACGGAGAAGCCGTCAAGTTCAGGCTTGGCGGTGCACCCCGATCCATGAGCTACCACGAGCTGGTGGCCGCCCTCGACCTCGGCCTGGTCGATGACAGGGACTACGTCACCGAGCTTCTCGAGCCAGAGGGGTTGAACTTCAAGACACTGTACACCCGCCTCGCTCGGCCAGGCCAGCTTCCCTTCTCGGCGGGGAAGACGAAGGCCAGCACATTGCAGCTCAACAACCGCATCCTCCATCACTTGCTGGCCAAGTTTTACACTCCATCCTCTGACAGTGCCAGCGCCATCACCAAGAGAGCCATGTACTTCATCCAGTCTATGCACGAGAGGGATCATCCCCTCCACTTGGGTTCGGTGGTGGCGAGGACCTTCGACAAGAGTGCTTCCGAGCTGAAGAAACTCCACTACACTCCCCTCATCACCCGCCTGGCCGCCTACTTCCAGATATCACTGCAGGGGTGCACAGAGCAGGGAGACACCAGTGTCTTTGGCTCATTTACGATATGTCGCATGCACCTGCTTTGAGAAGAGCAAGGAGTCCAGTGGATCGAGGGGTTTCCTCAACCTCAGATCCCAGAGGAGGACCAGCCGGAGGTTCCTAAGGGTGCGGATGATGACGATGTCCACCCCGAGGATGTGGATGATACTGCTGCCAGCCGCCCCACCACCTTTGAGTACGAGGGTGGCAGTTTCACTTTCCCCGGCCAGGACTACTTCACTCTGCAGTTCGAGCAGCTGCATCTCCAGAATCAGCAGCTCTACGACCATCAGCTCCAATTTCAGCAGCACTATTCGGCTCACCATGCCGAGTACCAGACCCGGTTGGCTGCGTATGATGAGCGCCTTAATCGGATGGAGACCCAGCAGGGGGTAACCCTGGCTTGCATCGAGAGAGAGTGATAGACCGTTAATTAAACATGTTTTCACCCCTGTTCTTACACCATTTGAGATGTGGTTTCTCGTGTTTTAGACCGATTTCACGCTAGGACCTGCTTGTTTGTAATATTTCATGTCCTGGCAAGTGAATGAAGGTTTAGGAGCGAGTTCGGGGGTCGATTGGGCGAAGATCGGGCGCGTGGCAATGTGCTAAGGAAGCTGCACGGGCACACACAAACATCGCACGGCCGTGCAACTGACAAGCCTGGCCGTGTGGGATTATGGAGCCAAAACACGGGCACACCTAAAACAGAACACGGCCGTGTTCTGTGGCCGTGCTTTTACTGCCGAGAGCAAATTCGAGTTTGGCAAACATTGGCCAAAAACACGGGCAGGGACTAGACAAAGCACGGCCGTGTCCACCCGAAAGCACGACCGTGTTTGCACCAACAAGCTGGCCGTGTAATTAACCCTAGCCAAAGCACGGGCGGGCTGAGGCATTACACGGCCGTGCCCTCAACCGTGTTTTGGCCACTGATGCCCTTTTTGAAGGCAGATTCGAGCCAAGGAAGGGGGAATCGGATTTCTTGAGCAAAAACAGAGCCCCAGAGAGAGAAAGGACGAAGAACACATCCTAGAAGCTATCTTGGAGCTGGGTTTCATCGAATCGAGCTTGGAGATCGTCCTAGGAGTGGAAATCATCATCCCGGAGCAGATTTTCCTCATCTTTATGAGTATGACTACTCCGATTACTGTTTTCCTCTCTCTCTCTCTATGGAGTAGAACCCCTCTCTCACGTGGGGATGAAGAACCCTAGTTCTATGAGTTAGGGATTGATTGTAATGACTTGGGATGATATTACTGTTTGATTTTAATCGAATGATGCATGTTTATTGAGTCAATTGAAGTCTGATCAGCTTTTCCTGATTCCTGCTGCAATCTGAGATAGATAGAATCTGATTAGGTTGCTAGAGTCTCATCATTCGGTAGTAGGAGATTGGCTATACGAGAGTTAGCCAGTTTACTGCTTTGTACTGGAATCTAATTCCACTAGTGGAGTTCTGTTCTTACTGCTTCAGCTTTCTATCCCGGTGAAGACTAGTCGTCTGCCGGGTAGTTAGACTGAGAGGGCTTGGTCAGCTTAAGAGATTCCAAGCTACTGCCGGATCTTCCGCAGTCAAATCAACAGTAAATCAACCTAGGGAAATACAATTGAAACCTAACTAAGGAGCTAGGGGGACTCATTCCCGAGTGACTCTTACCTGCTTGAGAATAGCTTCACCCTCTGTTCACGAAGGAAGGAAGGAAGGAAAATAGAAGAGAAGGGAAATTTGGAGGGGAGGAAAATGCGGAGGAAAAATTGGAAGGAAATGAAAATGTTGTTTTATGAAGAAAAGTGGGGAAAAGTAGGAGAGAAAAGTATATTGGAAAGTGGGATAGATATATTATTTTATGGTTATATAATAGTAAAATAGTTTAGTCATATGTTATAGTATTTTCTTTACTTATGAATAGTGGATTAAATTTATTATTTTGCTAATTCTGTTCACTAATAAAAAAAATTCTCGATACAAAATCTCGTTCACTTTAACGACGGTTTGGTGCGGTAGAATTGTCGGTAAGGTACTATATGATTTTACAAAAATGATATCTTTTTCGTCGGTGGTTGCAGCTTACCGTAGGTGGATCAGTATTCCGACACCAACTGGGAAATCAAAAACATGGTGAAAAAAATACATCAAACATGAAATTGAACAATCCCCAATATCAATCATTCAAACCACATACAAGTAAACTGCATGATAGGGTTTAGGGTTTCACTACACCCAAGTGGGAGAAGGACTACTCCATGGAAGAAGTGGGAAGAACAAAGGAGAAAAAGGTGGAAACCATCTTGTGGGGATGCCTCCTCTCTTCTTCAACCTTGAGCTGGAATTTCCTTGGGGAAATCTTCCCAAAACCTCCTTTGAAGCCAAGCCCTAACTCCTTCTTCTCTTCTTGGTTCTGTTTCTCTCATTAAAATGCCGAAGAAGTGTTTCTCTCACAAAAGTGGCTCTCCCCTTCTCTTTCCTTGCAGCTCAGCTTTTAAACACAAGAGGGGCTGAGTTCACGGCCGTGATCCCTCAAACACGTCCGTGAACTCACGCCTTTGCGCCAAAATGCTTTGCACCGATCACGACAGTTCATGGGCAACTGCTTGTGTTCACGGTCTTAGTGACCGTGACTCGCCTCGCGTTAGTAACCTTCAACTTAATTTTGTACGCCCAGCGCTTCATGGTCGTCTCTCCTTCTTCACGGTCTTGCGCGACCGTGAAATCCTACCTTTAGCCGTGAATTTGCGTTTTTCCATCTCTTCTCCCGGTTTTCGATCCTTTTCGCCATTCCTTTGACTCCGAGGCTGGTTCCACCTGTTAAATCCTGAAAAGCACTCAAAGAGCGAATTTGACCCAAACATCTAAGCAAACTGACACGCCAAAACACAACACCAAACTGCGACCAAGTGTAATCGCAGTCCGGGAATGTAGTAAAGTGGCAAGTTCTATTATCAACCCGGGGTCTAGATCTACTGCTTACTCCGTGATTATCTATTATCTAGCCAACTAAGTCAAGTGATTGTAGTTTTAAGCAAAAGCAGTAAGAAAGCAGGAATTGGTACGGTTTTCTCAAGCAAAGAAAAGTCACTCGGGAATGAGTCCCCCTAGATCCTTAGTTAGGTCTCAATTGTAATTACCCTGGGTTGATTTACTGTTGATTAAACTGCGGAAGATCCGACAATAGCTTGGAATCTCTTAAGCTGACCAAGCCTTCTCAGTCTAACTACCCGACAGACGACTAGTCTTCACTGGGATAGGAAGCTGAAGCAATAAGCACAGAACTCCACTACTGGAATTGGATTCTAGTACAAAGCAGTAAACTGGCTAACTCTCGTATAGCCAATCTCCTACTACCGAATGAAGAGGCTCTAACAACCTAATCAGATTCTATCTATCTCAGGTTGCAGCAGAAATCAAGAAAAGCTGATCAGACTTCAATCAATTCAATAAAACATGCATCATTCTATTAAAACCAAACAGTATAATCATCCCAAGCCATTACAATCAAATCCCTAACACCTGGAACTAGGGTTCTTCATACCCAAGTGAGAGAAGGGTTCTACTCCATAGAGAGAGAGGAAAACAGAATACAAAGCAATCATACTCATAACAATGGGAAGAATCTGCTCTGGGATGATGATTTCCACTCCTATGATGATCTCCAAGCTCGATTTGATGAAACCCAGCTCCAAGATTGCTTCTAGGATGTGTTCTTCGTACTTTCTCTCTCTAGGGCTCTGTTTTTGCTCTGAAAACTCGATTCCCTCACTTGTGGCCCAAAATTGGGTAAAAACCAGAAAATCCCGATCACACGGGCAGGCCACACGGCCGTGTGGCATACCCAGATGCCCGTGTGAGGTCCAAACGCCGCGTTCCCAATAATTGCACTTCAGGCTACCTACACGGCCAGGGACACACGGCTGTGTAGCTCACCCAGTCTGCCCGTGTGAAGCCTCGCGTAATCCCAACACGACCACATTGCTCCTTCACACGGCCGTGTGGGTTGTATTTGTGCCCATG